ACAGCTTTGAAAAAAATTAACACTGTGGTGCCCATTTCACTCACACAGCATGACATTTTAGACAGAGCTGAGAGCTTTTTAAAACACACACACACACTTTTTTTTAAAGGCCCAGGTTCCAGGAAGCAGTGTGTTTATTACATATTAAATAGAAGTTCTAACTTATATGTTCCTTGTAGACTCTTTTGGATTTTCATTCATTTATTCATTCATTCCTACACACACACATACAGTATCAGAAACCATGAATGCTTTGATTTTCATGTCAACAAGATAAATATAATTTCCTTTAAAATATTATGGGTTTTTATGGTGCAACCCTTGCTGATGGCAAACACTAGAAAACATGTCACTCAGATACATGCAATATTTATTTTTCAAGAAATATATTCTGCAGCAACAATAATATTGTTCTCAAAGCTCTCAAAGACTCATTAGGAATATTTATAACACATACATATCATACAGAGAACACTAGTATCCTGAATACAAACTCAACGATTAGTGTTGCTTTAAGGGGGGATAAAAAGCAAAACCACCACCAACAAAATTGAAGCCCTCCTCTAACCAGTACTAATTCAAGATGGTAGAGCAAGAAAGTCAGTACTTTAAACAATACAAAAATAGGTCTGAATGGTCATTGATACTGATGCTGGGATATTCAGAAAGACTGGGAGCTTGCAAACATATAGCAATATTCAGTATAGGAAAGGTCTGCTATATTTTCAATTATGTATTTTAACTCCATCTATCCCCTGCCCCTTTCAATTATTATCTATCATTTTAAGGTAGCTGTTTCTTTCTCTCATCTGGAAGTCTTCATTAATTGGCGGGGGGGACGGGACATGTAGCCTTTTTTCAAAAACGAATGATTGAAGCCAATGAAGTCGTTAATCTTGCAAATCTAATTTCAGTTACTTGAAAGTTACAGAATGTCCTTTGAAATAAAAATACAGGATCAGGACATCAGTCTTATATCTTTGGACTAGAAATGAGTGTGGAAATATTTCCTGCCCTTTACATATGGAATTCCCTGTTCACAAGCATTAAGGTCTGATTTCTACAAGTCCTACCTCAGAATATTTCCTCCAAGACACCTTTTTCTGAAATTATTATTACATGCCATCCCTTAATATGTAACGACAAAGACTGAATTATCCTCAAGTCCACTGATAAAGCTGCAAGGCCACAATGCACTTACACAAGCCATTTTAGATAAAGCACAGACATTACAAGGAGAATGCATGAAAGCCGTCTGGATGACTTTGGGCCAGTCACTCTCTCTCAGCCCAACCCACCTCGCAGGGTGGTTATTGTGGGGAAAATAGGAGGAGGAAGGAGTATTATGTATGTTCACTGCCTTGGGTTATTTATAAAAAAAATAATAATGGCAGGATTAAAATCCAATAAATAAATAAATAAATAAATAAATAAATAAATAAATAAATAAATAAAATCTTGCCCCAAATAAAATAAAATTTAAAAAAAAAAAAAAAAAAAAGGAAAAAGAATAGGCTGGGTTCAGCCCTCCAGACATTCAAAGTAGACAAAAGTGGAATTTGGGGCAATTATCGTCTAGTAGTTTAAATGGATATTGGCTAGGCTGATGGAGAATAAGGCTATTAGTAGCTACTAGTTATTATAACTATATGTTTCTCAATACCAGTTGGTGGGAACATCAGTAGGGCAGCATTACTCAATCCATGTACTAATAGTGTTACCAATCCTTACCTATTTAGCCTCAAGGGAAAAGGAAGCTGAATTAAACAGATCTTTGGTTTGTTCCAGCACAGCTCTTCTGTTTTCACACATGACTGTGTAAAACTGTCCTTAATCTTCATATACCATCCTTTGTCCTCTCCAGGTCCCACCTTCCCCACCCTCTGACCTGACTCCTTCCTCTTCTCCAACAATGCTTGCTGAATACAACAGATGACTTTATACCAAATTAGGCCAACAGCCCATCTAGCACAGTGTTTCTCAACCCTGGTGACTTGAAAACGTGTGGACTTCAACTCCCAGAATTTTCCAGCCAGCCATGCTGGCTGGGGAATTC